CCAAGGGTACTTACTACAAGCAATGTCATCCATTACTCCTTTACTATAAAACTTTAATGCTTTGGGGTTGGCATTGATTGATATAGTRGCTGGTCCATGGAACGACAAAGCTTTCTTCAGTGCAATCGGGTTATATCGTTTTACTCGACGATAACTACGAATATGGGCGCCTACTGTAATGTTATGAGTTTTGCAGTATCCCTCCTAAAAAAAAATAAGAAGTAAAGAACTGAGCCATGTGGGATGACTTTAGGTTGAGTTACACACGCGCATGCGTATTCGGTCAATCACGAGTTTGAGTCAATGTTAATGATGTAAAAGTAAAAGTAAGTAAAAAGTCCCTAAAGAAGTCAATAAACGAAAAAAACATTGTATTGTAAAGAAATTCTTTGTATATACCTGTCCACGATAATGACCGTAGGATTYTGTAGTTGCCAGRCCAAATTTTTTGATCCAGGAAAATGCTTTCCAAGTCCACCCTCCAAGACATCCATTGTTCCCTTTTTTGACCCCTGGTGCAAACCAAGTGCAATCCACGAGTTGTTGCTCTGATAAATTCAGAAGCTTCCCCGTCTATAAGGAATCCAATTTAATGTGAGTGTTGGCTCGGGCAATGACAACTAACTAACTGMGCATGCTAGTTGGGTCATATTTGTCGTCCAAAATGTGGCACAATTGATTTTGTGATCCTTCATTGTGATAGAGATCTGCATCAAGAGTTGGTTTTTCCAACCCTGTTTAGCTTTTTGTTATACAATGGATTTGAGCTGATATGATAAAGTAGAGTGTCCCGATCAGTGCATGTACAATTTGTATCTATAGTAGCCTGGGTAGAGCTACCAGCAGACGGCAATTCCTTTTCCTCCTAACCATTCCCCGCTTAACTCTCCCTGATTTCCTTTTGGCCGTCTATATTTTATTTAAGGTGACAATATAATAATTAGGACTATATGGAATACCTTAATAAAATTTGCTCCTTCTACCGCGCCTACTGATGCAAAAGCCCAACACGAACCACAGGTGCCTTGTCCTTTAGGTGGGTTCACGGCTCCTGTAAAAAAACCATGGTGTAATCAGATGRATTTTATCAATCCTATCACCGACATCAATATATATTTCACTGAATATTGTATATATCTGTCCTTTTTTCCTTACCATAATCCCTCCAGTCCAATTGTGCTGGAAAAATGAACGGTTTAGAATTATTTTTCCTGTTTTTTACTTTTTTCGATATTTTATCCCTTCTGYCCTCTAAATGTCTCTCATCGTACGAAAGACGTCTTTCTTCACGGGCAACATCATCAGTTCTTCGACCATCTTGATGCTCATCTTCTTCTGGATTATCAGTGTCATCAATATCATCGTTATCTACATCTTTATGACTTTCTTCACGCGCGACGTCTTTGTCAGTTTTATCATGATCGTATTCCATGCTTTTTTCATGATAATTATTTCCAGTTAAATGAGAGTAATCATCATGATGATSRTCATCATCATCATTATGCTCCTCTTTCAAGTTCTCTTTGTTATCTTTAKATTCATCATCGTCACTGAGGTCCCCTTTATGAGAACTGAATTCTTGGTCAGTCAAATCTGCGAAGTGGTTTGGTTTGACGTGATAATTCAAGTTTTTCCTGTTTGTAGAGCGAATATATCTAGAAATGGATCAAATGGAACAAATTTAGAAAACTCAGATACGATGCAATAAAAACTAAGTTCAGGTTCAAGTATTAGGACTGAGAGCAGATCGATACACTGAGCCATGTGGGACAGGTAAAGAAATCCCATACGAGCATGCGTAATGAGTAAAATAAAGTAAAAAGYTTTTATAAAAATATCAATATTGATWAGTGGTTTAAGATGACGTTGACAGGACAGTAAATAAAGTTAAATAGAGCTATTTTTATGTTTCAAACTAAAAGGAAAAAAATCCAGCTGACCTTAATTCATAAAAATGATATCTGTGCATGAAAAAGGTGAAAAAAGCTGTAACAAAATCTGAAAATAGGAAGACAATACAAAGCAAGATGTGTATTTATACCTGATGTTATGCCTAAAAATGTGTTTTCGTTTCTGTTGTTCTTTGTAATCTTTATAAACCTTTTTGTGTGTTTGTTTGAAGTTATCAAAAGCATGATTAATTGGATCCTCGTGATGTCCTACTGTTGTAAACTCGCTCATCGGGTTAAGTGCCAGTGCGGCTCCATCTCCATGGTTACGCATTAGTTTAGAAGTGTCCCAGCACCATTTGTCGTGGTGTACTRTGAAATACAATGAAATACAACTATTTTWAAAAAAGTGRCCGRGTCGAAAAGACTACAACATCAAGTCTAAGACTGAACGGTAGCACGGGAGAACAAATATTATGAGTATAAACAGTGTTTCTGTGTGCTTAAAGTGCCTGCACTTAATAAAATGTCCTTCTCTACGAGTCATGCTAAAAAGTTTAAAAGTTTGGGCAAAATAATTCCAATTTCTAAGCACTAAAAACCCTGTTCGAAGTTAGCTCGATGATACTACCTTTTTGCACCCTGACCACCTTTTTTTTCAATGAGGCGATTATTATACAATTATAAACGTGAGAGGAAGAACAGGTAACAAATATAAATCAACATTATAAATAATATAATTAGTATGAACTAGAAAAAGATAAAATGGCATATTAAATAAATGCCAACAAAGACATTAATGATGGATTCAATACTGAAGGCATAATAACAATAGACTCACGTTTTGGTATCGTAAACTTGTTTTCATYGTATTTCCACTTCTTAAATGTAYGGTAGTCGATTACGTAGGAGTCGTAGTACGAAACCAACAATGTATCATAACCGTTCATAATCAGACGCACAGGGAGGGGAGGGACGGTTTTCGTAACGTAAAATTCATAACTGTTCTTTTTGTCCCTTACGTTGACTTCGTAGGTCCACTTTGTACAGAGTTTTCCGTTTATACGGACGTCCTTGACGTACTGAAAATAATAAATCACAATTGATACAGTTTTTTGTTGTGCTCTATTATTGGGAAATGCCTCTTTTACGATATAACTGGCGTGCTGTTGAATTTGACGCAGCATTTACGCAGGAAGCCAGCAGGTCTAGCTGCCTTATTCAGTCATCTAATGTAGATCCGATACTAACATATCCTTACGTAATAAATATCCTATAATAATATACGCTAACAGGCCTTTTATAATATAGCAGTTTGCATTGCATTGTGGTCTAGATTCGGTACAAACATCTTTTGTTTCTGCAGACAAATATGACATTTTTTGTACTGAAGCTAAACSACAATGCACTATGATTTTGTATTTCAGAAAATTAGGTCTATAGTCTATAGTCTACATCAAAGTTTCCTGCGCCATCTTGAAAGGTAACCGCGCCTTCGTCGGCGTGAGACTTCCAGTGAGTTTGCCATGGTATGTGTCTTTCTAGACAATTCTCAGCTCGTCGGTCATCCCGTTACAAAAGGCAAGGTTACTTTTCAAAATGGCGGCAGTGTCAACTGTAAAATGTGTATAGCATTGGCATTTTTAGAAATTATTATTACTCCTTTGCAAAGAMGTTTTTCATATTTTTTCACCTTAAAATCTTCTAATTTAGATCGAAACGGCCACGACGCATCATGGGGTAAAACGCTTTGAGCTGTAATTTTATGTTTTAATGTACCATATCTCTTCCAGCAGCCTCKCCAATGCTGTCTACTCTTAAATGAATACTTAGGAATCAGCTTAAAGAACATTCCATGTTTTCCAAGGTCACCTCGCTGAAAGGTTTTTACATCACCTGAAATATAGAGCAATAAGCGAAATATCAATCTTTACATAGTATGCTGTAATAGGTCCCTGGGACATGATCGGTTTTAAAGGCACTGCATGGCTACATAGTTTACAAATGACAAAGTTTATCAGTGGGAACTTCTCCCAAACCACATTTTCTTGCTTCTTTTGTTTTGTGTTGTATTTTCAGAAAGCTCTCCCTGAATTGAGTCTGTACAAGCATGACTTAGCAAGCCAAGCTTATGGCTTTGTTAGATTCCATGGCATCGGCAAGCAAACTTGGTATAAAACTTCTATTTTATGATGCATGTCAGTTTGCAATATTTTTGTTTATCCTTAGTTGTGTTTCATATAAACGTGTACAGTACAAAAATACGATGATTTCATTACTTAAAGAAAACAATCGATAAATAATCGTATGGTACCTTGTTTGCAATGACGGACCAGCAGTTGTTTTTTTATTTGATTTATTTTATGGGTCGATAATCACACAAGTGCAAATCCTAACAATTTTCCCGAATAAATATCACTCACAGACCAATGCTTTAGATGGACGATATTACTGTGATTTTACAGTTAACTAACTTACCTTGATAATAATCGATTCTGCTTCTCCTGTGAGGTCTGCTGTACCAGGCTTCAAAGGGTTCGTTAATTTCGCTTGTGACGAGTCGCAAAACACCGGTTACATGGTACTCGTTTGGGAAATACAATCTTGCCAAGCTATCTCCAAACTTTAGATCACTCTCTCGTCTTTTATCTTCAGATATGAAGTCCTCTATGGAATCTCGTTTTAGAAATAGATATGCTCCAGCAACAGATACTGTTAGAAGAATTCCAACTACTAGGAGTTGACAATGGGATAACATTTGATCCTTCTCGTAATAAAACACTACAGCAATTAACTTGTAACAGGTTGCACTACTGTTGACTAATCAAATGTTTGCCCGAGAGCAATTCTTCTTGATCAGTTGTGTTCAAAGATCTCATCAAGTAAAACTCCAGGTTATATTTATCATGTCGTGGCAAGAAAAAGAATTATTTCCGTGCACAGTTAACACAACAAGTCCAGTAATATTTGTGAATGACTCGAGAGGGTTTTATTACGTCAGGAGTCAAGAACGATGTCCTGACTGCATGTTTTTGTGTAAACACTCTCCATAAAAGGKCTTGTTAATATTACAGACATCAAACCTTTTCGTCAATATTGTGGATTTGGACACGGGGTCGTGAGTTTTGGAGTCATGACCAGTGAATATCTACTTCCTGATTGCCCCTGCTTGATAGTTTATTGACTTGTGCAAAACTGTTTTTCAACCTTGATTTGTGAAGAGTCGTCCACTGGATAAGTAATCCAYGTTCTTATCAAGTTTATTGTGAGAAAACCTCCTTGTTTACTTTGGATGTATGAAGAATATAATAACGGCAAAATGAGATTTTTTTCTCGGAATCAGGTTAAGTAATGCTTGCGTAACTCAGTTCTTTCTGTTTAATAACAGTAATGTTTTTTTCCTCAAGTTTGAATCATATTTTTCACCTTGCAATTTGGGTTAAAATCATGCGTTTGATAGCATTTCATCTCAACTTTACTATTTTTATTCTGCGCAATTGTTGTTCGAAATCAGCCAATTCACAGTGAAAGCAAGTAGTTCTCACTTAGTCCGTATAAATGTTTTTTATCAAATCGAAAGCTGTATGACACAAAACTGCTCAAGGGGAGAGGACAAGGGATGTTTTTGGTTAAGTACAGGTACCAGTGCCACGCCCATTGAAACAAATCACAACATTTTACCAGTGTTTCTTTATACAAAAGGTCATTTATTAAAATAAACATTTAAAYTCAATAAAATACAAAATTTGTTTTTGCAAATATATATACATTACTTTGGATGTACAATATTTTCATTTTAATACACGGTATGTATAATTAATTTGATAATAATAATAATATAAATAATTGGACAAAAAAATACAAAATGCAGTAATCATTTTAGCTGTTGAGACTTTTTCATCTCGCTAAAATTATGAAATACTGTACATTAAATAATACAATATGATTAACTGCTCCTAGAGCAATTACATGTTTTTCAATATGCATCGCGTTTGCCTATGTTGTTCAATATGCCTTGACTCCAAATCATAGGATTCAAATGCTTATAATAACTTTGTTATATGTTTATTGCTGTATATTTGGAAAGCCCAAAGCTCTTCGTTTCTAAACTCTTCCATGGTTGTTCCACCTGTAAACATTATGTTGCTTTAGCAGAAACTACCACAGCTTTCTGAGTCACACCACAGTTATCGTCCTTCATGGCTATCTTAATATAACCCTTATCGCCCCATATYTCTGACCATGAGTTTTTCACCAACCAATATGGTATGCCCCTCTCAACGCCGTACCCTACCGCTAGTGCAGCGTGGTCCAATGCATGAGCTACAACATAATTCATAATAGTGAGTAAATCGACGAGCTCAAGAATTCTGCTGACAGATTCGGTTTTGCTTAACCAAAGCTTAAGAATATTGCAGCTCTATGGACACAAATTTGCCACCACATAATTCATGAACAGTATTCAAGAGTCATATACTCAGACTTCACAGGGGCGAGGGCAGGGACWTCCAGAGGGGGCACCGGAATCCCCGCTTCTTGGCAGACAAAGTTTTTGAAGTATASGACTATATATCCTGCAAGGCGGGATCTATATTGCATGATATTGCATTTAAATGTTCATAGATAAGACAACTTACTGCACTGCGCATCATAATAAACTCCAGATCCATAAAACTTRAAGGATTTAGGTTGTGTATTTATGAGGATAGTCACAGGACCATATAACGCGACGGCCATTTTYAAYTCGCTTGTATTGCCCTTCCTGATGTTCATGTAAGATTCCAGTTTAGCTCCAATAGTTGTGTTTTTAAAGTGGCAGTACCCTTCCTGATAAAACAATGGTCATAAAATATAGATGATTCCCTGCTTTTAYTCTTATCTGATCAGAAAGAGTTTTGTGTGTATTTTTACCTGTGCAAGGTATTTTCCGTAACTCTCTTCTGTAGCAAGACCACCATGTTTTAGTATCCACTGCATTGCTCTATAAGGATAGCCACCCTTACAGCCACGATTACCAAAACCCCACGTACAGTCAACGATCTGCTGCTCGGAGAGGTTTAATCGGTTACCAGTCTGAAATCATAAGAATKAATATTTAAGTCAYGAATTCGTTTAGGTTGAGTGTGATTGATGAAATAGTGTRTTTATTTGTATTTTATATGCGCACAAARRCCATCAGCAACGAAATCTACCTTGATAAAGTACGCTCCTTCCAARGCACCCGCTACAGCGAACGCATAGCAAGAACCACAGATTCCTTGGCTTTTGACATGACTGACAGCACCTAGAAAAAAGGTTACGTAAATGACCGAACGGTTGGCTGATTGGTTGGTTGGTCGTATTTCTAAATGTGTTTTAAGTCGTTKTGCAGAMTTTGAACGATGATCATTTTTTACATACCGGCTTTTCTCCAGTCCACACGGTTAGGTAATTTTCTACTTTTTGATGTAAAGAATGTTTTTCCTCCATTGAACGCACTATCAACTCCATGCAACAAGCCTTTCTGCAGCTCAACCTCCTTAGCGGTCATGTCGGTCATGTGATTTGGCTTCAGTTTGTACGTCAAGTTTTGTCTATTACGAGACTTGATGAATCTGCAAGAATTAAATCGTACTTTGGCCAAATATATACATTTGAAACTATAACTATAGGTGTGATATGTAAGTAGTACTGGGTAAGCCACATTGACATTGCAAGTATAAACATTTACATTACCTCATGTTATGTCTGTAAATGTCTTTCCGTCGTTCGTGTTCATGATGAGATCCATATTCCTTGTTAAAACTCCGTTTGAACGCAGAAAACAGTTCGTTCAAAATGTCCTCGTAGTGTTGCAAAGTGGCTTGGTGATGTATTTTRTTATTTGGGACCTGTTTAAGGGRCGTGTTTGATGGTTTTRTTGGGTTGTTGTCACTGTAAGGCATTTTCTTTAGCTGTTCCAGTAAATATTCCAAAGAGTTTTCAGATTCGTCTAAAGATGAGGTTGTAGAGGGAGGGGGAGTAGTGGTMATTGGCTGTTTTAACTCTGACRRATGTYGATGAGGCATAAATTCTGACATGGGATTGATCTCTCCCACAGCTCCAGCTAAGTGTCCTTTTGTGAAGTCAAAACAGTTTAAATCTGAAAGAAAACAAAAAGTAAGTAAAAATTGAAGACATTTGGTAATCATATCACCAGAGAGCTCCGTGTTATATTACGTGTTTGTTACTAATAACAATTCAGTTCAGCAAACATGAATAAATCAGTAAATTTATCTAACTTTCCATCACTTGAAATATATCATCCTGTTTATTAATACATGTACAGCGATTTTAATAAATGGATTGTGTTCGGAGYGGTGAACGAAAATGTCCCAAATGAAGATTGTACGATTTATGGTGAATATAATAGGCTTTAAATAACAATCTTTTAGAAATTCCTACATCATAAGTACTTACTCGAAGGTATTTTAAAGACGCTGTAGTCAAAATTCCATGCGTCAAACGAGTGATAGTCGAGTATGTAATGATCATAGTAGGATGATAATAGTGTATCGTATCCCATCATCTCATATCGTACTGGTTTGTATGGTCGCGACTGTGACGTGTAGAATGTGTACGTATTCACTTTGTTGTAGATTTTAAAACTATGTTTCCACTTTGAGCATGGCTTGCCGCGAAAGTTAACGTGGCCATCAAACTGTAAAGATGAGAATYATGTTAATGATTAGCTTCAGTGTTGATATCAAAGCCAATAATTCTGTTAATCTAAATAGAAAATCTCTGAAGAGCTTAATCAATATGCTGAAAACAACGTTCCTACCGCAAAGAAGTCAAATGACGGRATTATGCTTTGAGGTTTKATTCCAAACTGTTTTGTTCCTTGACGATGAAGACAACCTTTGAAAGTCTTTTGAGTCTTTTCGGAAAATTCTGGGACAACTTTACATGCAAARCCATATTTTCCCAAGTCGCTGCGCTGATARGTTCGATCCATTCCTAGAAACGGCATAAAGGATGTTTAATAGCCTTTTTCACAGTTTCCATCTTTTCCATCAAGAAAGGCGATCGATCCTATGCATCAAAGCAAGACAGTGGCAGGGCTTGCAGTAATAGATGCTTTGTTTCACGTATGGGATATTTAGTGTTCACAGGTATGTCTCGCTTTGGTGCATAGTCATCTTTTAAGAAAAGGCTGGCAACTAAAATAGAGTATTGCAGTACTGGTTGTTCAAGGCATATAGTCCTCAGCTTTGTCATCGCAAATTATTKAAATAACATTTCAAAATCAATAAAGTAGCCCTGCACGTTTAACTGGGATATAAGTTTTTACTGACCTCCATAATAGTCAATCCTACTCATACCGCGTGAGCCTGAGTACCAGACCTCAAAGGTCTCCACAATGTCTCCATAAGGTAGAGATAAGACTCCTTTAGAGTGGTAATCATCCGGGAAATGAAGATGYTTTTTCTTTAGTTTGAGGTGCTTCGTGATTGGTTGGCTGCGTGCTCGACGTTGAATTCGTGGTTCTTTTAATCCTTGAGTCTGTATGTTTGAATGAGTCCAATAAACCAAGGCTCCTARAATCATCAAGTAAGAGAATTTTACGAGGCACTTAAATTTAATCACAGATACAATAACGGTAAAAATGATAATCTTATATAGAGGGTAAAGCTTCATTCATTAATGATCTAATTTGATTTAATAGTGATCTTTTTACTAAAGAAAACTAATCCCAGAATCTGAATATGGAAAACAAAATCCCTTCCCAATGAATCAAAACGAAAGCTAAAGAGCCACAAACTCGATATCTGGAATCGCACTGGACAGTAATATAATAAATATGTTTCCAGGATGTTATTCATGATACACTTCCTTTAGTCAATTACACTTCCGGTACGTTTCCATGGTTATGACCCAGCAGGTACCGGTCGCGCCGCACTCTTTTAAAGTACCGATAATGATGTCTGTTTTGATTCTTAATTGGAGAAACTTCAAGGCTCAACTTATGGATTCAGATTCTAAATCTCTGTTCTGATGTTTTTGCCAATCATTTAGTTCGGGCGGGACCAAACTGCAGTATATTGCGATGGATTCCAATTTCTATATACAATACACTGATACCTGATACAATACACTGATACCTGATACTGAACCTGAGTGCAAAAGCATTATAGTAACATAAACATTTTTTACAAAAACAAACAACAATTAAGAAGCTGATTTTACAAGGTGCGAGATGAATGTTAGAAGAAAGTTAGGATATGTTATCAAGATAAAAAAAATCAGATTCTTAGTGAAATCAGTTTTAATGTTATGTCTAAATAGATACCGTTGTTTTGATCATTCTGACGTCCAGCAGAACACAAGAAAATATCATTATTGCAAATGAAGGTGTACAAAYTGTCGAAGAAGGAGAAGGAGTCATACCTGTACAAAATGCAATCAACACTAACAGTCCTCTTGCAGTTCGTCGAGATGGTTTTCGTAACGTGCGAAAGTTATCCGCAATGGACCCTATCCACAGTGCCACCCTTACCATAGGCGAAAAAACCCGTGGATTGTTCGTGTGTCATTAGGGTAAAATAGCTGTCAGTAAGCTTACTGTTCACACAAGTCTGTTTTGCTGACAATAAAGATGTCAAATCGATTGAAAACCAAAGGAAACAACGGTAACATTGTCGTTGTGATTTACGAGCAAAACTCATGATGTCATCAATTCTAGAAATACTMTTTCAAGTCAGTTGTAGTTTTAGGACGCTGACGAGATGTAGAGCACCCGAGAGGGCTTACGGGTATTAGTCACGTGACTACCTGTTCTCTTTACGCTAGTACCTGTTTGTTATGTTTTGAGCTATTGAAGTTTATTTGAAAAAGTAATTAAATTAATAAGAT